GAGAGAGAGCGAGTACATGAGAGGGGGGAGGGTCAGAGGGAGAAGCAGACTCCCTGCTGACAGCAGGGAGCCCAATGCGGGACTCGATCCCGGGACTCCAGGATCATGACCTGAGCCGAAGGCAGTCGCTTAACCAACTGAGCCACCCAGGTGCCCCACCAAGTGACTTTTCTAAAGAAGGACAAGATAATCTTCACTCACCAAGATGCCCTGCCACTCCTCAGGGAAAACAGGACATGACTTGCAGGGCTAACAATGCCCAACAGAAGGCTCAGAATAAATACCACATTGGATTGAGGACTTGGGAGCATTTACTAATTAACCATAGCAAAATCATTACCTGGAGTTGTCCAGGCACCAAAGGGAAACGTCTTAACTCACTAAAAAGTCACTATCATTCAGGAAACACAGCTAGGAAGTATGTTACACCTCACCCAGACTATAGCAAGACTGGAAGCCAGTAAGACAGATTAGAACAAAAGATCGTGTGCCAGGAAAGTAAATAAAAATATGTATGTGCATTCTAGGGGCACCTGAGTGGCTCAGTCATTAAGCGTCTGCCTTCGGCTCGGGTCGTGATCTCAGGGTCCTGGGATCGAGCCCCACGTCGGGCTCCCTGCTCAGTGGGAGGCCTGCTTCTCCCTCTCCCACGCCCCCTGCTTGTGTTCCCTCTCTCGCTGTCTTTCTCTCTGTCAGATAAATAAATAAAATCTTTAAAAAAAAAAAAATGTATGTGCATTCTAAAAACTATGAGAATATATTTTTTCTCTGAAACGTCTCTACAATTGCTGACCTAGCAATTCCTGTATTCTACACAAATTGATGACGTGCCATACCTGACCATCACTTCCACCCTGCTTGTCCCCCTAGCCACTAAAAACATTTTTAAATTAATAATAATGGTAGAAAAAAGCACTGGGGCTCACCAAGTCATGTCAGAGTACAAAATCTGTAAAGAACCACATAGCACAAGACAGTAATTTTAGCAAAAGGAAAATGAATAAAGTAGGTGTTCTAATAAGGTCAGGCGTGGTTTTCAAACACTAAAAATATAATATCTAAACTTACCAATTTATGAATAATGAGAAGCACTCTGAAGATGTTTTAACTAATGAGCTTTTTGAAAAGTTATTCTAAACCTGGACAATGAAAATATAATTTCAACCCACCACATCTCAACTCACCACAATTTCACAGTTAATCACCCATACAGTACTGTCCACTTCTACCCTAAACAATATTCAGCAAGAGCTGAGGTTACAGGCAGTTTCCAACAGTTGTAAAATGCTAAAACCTTGGCAGTACAAATAATGCTGTACAAAGATAGTGATGCTGCTAATTCTGAACTCAGTGAAGAGCTGGGCTCTCAGTGACAATGCCTGTGTTCAAATCCCAGATCTACAACTTACTAGCTGTAACTCTGAGCAGTTTAATCTCTGGCCTTTAGTTTACTACTATGATCACAATAATCTTACTACCTAATAGGACAGTTAGCATACAAACAAGCACTCAATTAATGCTGACAGTTGTTGAACTTCTGGCTGGTGGGCAAGCACTACCTACCAAGCATAAGCTTTTCATTTATCAGCTAATGAATGTCTGAATTCAAGGAACAATACTGGTTTAGGGGTACTAATATATTTAAACACAAAAGCCTGGGGAGTCCCAAAGTTTGGAGGTCAAAAGTGCTGAAGTCAAGGACAGTTGGTACCCTCTCTTTTCCTGTTCCTGCCAGTTGATATTAATTGCCTTGAATTTTTTTTTTAAAGATTTATTTATTTGAGAGAAAGAGAATGAGAGAGAGAGAGAGAGAGAGCACATGGGGGGGGAGGGTCAGAAGGAGAAGCAGACTCCCCGCTGAGCAGGGAGCCAGATTCGGGGCTAGATCCTGGGACTCCAGGATCATGACCAGAGCTGAAGGCAGTCGCTTAACCAACTGAGCCACCCAGGTGCCCCTAACTGCTGGAAATTCTTAAAGGAAGCTTCTTCTAATACTCGCCCCATGAACTATAACAAAAGCTACATAATTCTGGCTTCAGTTTTGACAATACAACCTGTCACTTCTAGTTAACATATCCTAATGTTTAGCAACGTGAAATGGACAAGATTTTTCTCACTGAGTAGTTCAAAACACTGTTATTTCTAAATGACTTATGGGACACCAAAGGCATTTTCTTTGGTCCTCAAGAACAATTTTAGAAATCCAATTATTCTCAAAAATACTGAGTCTTGGGGGCACCTAGATGGTGCAGTCAGCTAAACATCAGACTCTTGATTTCAGCTCAGGTCATGATCTCTAGGTCCTGGAATCGAGCCTGAGTCAGGCTCCATATGCAGAGTCTGCTTGGGTTTCTTTTTTCTCCCTCTCCCTCTGCTTCTCCCCCCGCCACCATCCCTCTTCCTCCAAGCACATGAGTGCTCTCTCTCAAATAGATAAATAAATCTTTAAAAAAAAGGTACTGAATCTGGTGGGTAAGGGATGGGCTAGATGGGTGATGGGTATTAAGGAGGGGACTTGTTATGATGAGCACTGGGTGTTTGTTGTATGTAAGTGATGAATCACTGAGTTCTACTCCTGAAACCAGTATTGCACTGCATGTTAGCTAACTAGAATTTAAATTAAAAAAAGAAAAGTACTGAATCTTTTTAGTTTAAAGGAGGGGGGCACCTGGTTGCTCAGTAGGAGGAGCACACGACTCGATCTTGGGGTCGATCTCGGGGTCGCGAGTTCCAGCCCCATGATGAGTGAAGAGATTACTTAAATAAATAAAACTTAAAAAAAAAAATGTCTGCCGGTAGCTGCTGCCGCAGAGAGTCATAAGCTAGAAACTGTGAACCCTGGCTGGATTCAGTTCCTACCCTCAATCATCCTTATTTCATCCCTGCCCTCTGAAAATATATACTGGAGGGTATGGTAACATACACCATGGGGAAATGGAAATAGAGTCCTATCTCTGCCACTCACCACCTGTGTGACCTTTGACAAGTCAGTGTCTTCAGCTTAAAGTGAGGAATTTTCTAGCAGTGGTTAAGAGGGTGAGCTTGGGACACTGGGGTTAGGATCTTAGCTCCATCAAATGTTAGCTGAATGACCTTAGGCAAATTAGACAGTATCAACAAAGCCCCATTTTTCTCATCTGTGGGGAGAAAAGGGGGGGGAGGATTTGCAGGACTGGAAAAAACTATCTACTTCATGAGAATGTGTGAATATTAAATAAGATAAGCCATATGAAGGGCCAATCACAGAGAATAACATAATAATCGGTCTATATACATTAGCTATTATTTCCCACCTCACAGGTTGTTGCTAGAATCAAATGAGATGTGAGTAAAGCATCATACAAATTTTATTTTATTTTTTTTCCAAATTTTTTTTTAAAATATTTTATTTATTTGACAGAGAGACACAGCGAGAGAGGGAACACAAGCAGGGGGAGTGGGAGAGAGAGAAGCAGGCTTCCCACCGAGCAGGGAGCCCGACGTGGGGCTCGATCCCAGGACCCTGAGATCATGACCTGAGCCGAAGGCAGACGCTTAACGACTGAGCCACCCAGGCGCCCCAGCATCATACAAATTTTAAAAGCAGGACCAACTGTGCCAGAAATAAAGTTGCCCCCTCCTCCAAAAAAGTTGAATGATCTCAGCCATGTGGAGAAACCTCCATTTAGTAACATTTACACTATAAGCTCGAGGTCTAGTTTGGCAAAAACCACTGACCTTGAAGCCTTCCTCACCGTTCACTAAGACAGACCAACTATCTATGAGGAGAGAGAGGAATTGCAAAAAGGACCACTGCCCAATTACAGAACATCCTGGTTACTGAAAAGGTGTTTCTCCCTGACTCAAATCTGTTGATTTTTCACAGCCGGGTAGCAGGATGACATCAAGGTCTGAAAGCCTGAGAGTTGAGGTAAGCGTTAAGGAGGGGGATCCACTTAGCAAGCACAAGGGAAGCTGCAGAGAAAACCAGAGAAGCTGCAGAGAGGAAAAGCCCTGCAGCAGCCCTGCATGCCCCTCTGACAAGAGCTAACACTGTCTCTTCACCGCTATTTTGGGCCCACGACCCCCCCCCCCGCCTCCCACGTGCGCCCAGAGCAGCTGTTTCTCCACCAAAGAACTCTGGATTGGGAGCCTCGAATAGGGCCTGCTCCTGACTCGATCTGGGTGACCTTGCATAAGCCCCTTCCCCTCTTTGGACCTGTTTCTCCATGTGCACCGAGCACAGCTTGTCAGACGACCCCCTAGGCCCCGTTCTCCTAAGTAAAAAGTCTTTAGTGAGGAATTTTCCCTCAAGCAGAGTGTCGCACCCTCATGCTGGAGCCAGCTTTCACCTGGCTTGGGATCCACCTGAAATCCTGGGTCTTCCTTGGTGCGGCATTAACAACGCAGCCTGCGGGCAGCGCACGTCTCAGCGAGAGTGTGTCTCACACGGCCTGCACGTCGGGCCTGCTCTGCTGACCAGACGCTGCCTGGACCGCGCCGCTGCCACCGCTGGGCTCAGGAAGGCCCGGCCAGCGCCTACGCGAGGCCCGGGGCTGCGGCCTAGAGGCCCGCGCGGTCCGCCCCCCGCGCCTGCCAGCTCCGCGCCCGCCCCCTCAGCGCCCCTCCTGGACCTTCGCCTCGGCCTCAGCAGCTCTCGACGCGTCCGGCCGACAAGAGGCTGGCCCCAGGCACTCACCGTAAATGGGCCGGAGGCGCCTGTCGTTAGGGTCCTGCACATGGCCCCGCGTCGCCATGATGACAAGCGCAGAACCGCAGTGCGCACGCGCGGGGCAGGCCCTCGGGAAGGGGCTGTTAAAGGGCCAGCGCCGATCCCGCTCTTCTATCGCGATAGTCGCGGGGCTGCGACTGAACGCTCCCGCGCTGAAAGGGAAGCCCTCCGGCCCGCGGACCCCTACCCGTACCGCAGTGGCTTCTTCAATAGGAAACTTTCCTCCTTTGGCCAGATGGAATCAACCTGGGTGGAAGAGACGGCTGTTGGTATTGAAATCCCTTCCGAGTCACGTACTGGGTAGTGAGGAAAGGAGGGGAGAAACTCTTCGTCAAAGTTGGGGCTCGGCTGCTCCCGCTTATCGTATTTGTCCTGTGTCCGAGGGAGGACCAGTTAGACTTGTCTGTGACCAATTGTTGAGGAACCGGGAACTCCTCTGGGAGACTGACCCAAGGGACAGTGGGGAAAGGGGTCTGTCCGATCTGGGGTGCCTGACTGGCTCAATGGGTAGAGCATGAGAGTCTTGATCTTGGGGTTGATGAGTTCAAGCCCCACCTAGGGCACAGAGCTTACTTAAAAAGGGGGCGGGAGGGGGGGAAGGATGCTGATCAACGGTAAAAATAAGCCTGAAAAGTTCAAGATCCCTTCATCCCTCGCCTGGGGCTCAACCAGCTAAGAAGCATCCTAGATTAATAGTAATGCAGTCAGGGGCGCCTGCGTGGCTCAGTCGTTAAGCGTCTGCCTTCGGCTCAGGTCGTGATCCCAGAGCCCTGGGATCGAGCCCCAAATGGGGCTCCCTGCTTGCCGGGAAGCCTGCTTCTCCCTCTCCCACTCCCCCTGCTTGTGTTCCCTCTCTCGCAGTCTCTCTCTCTGTCAAATAAATAAAATCTTAGAAAAAAAAAAATAGTAATGCAGTCAGTTTGTCAATTATACCTCAGTAAAACTGGAGGGAAAAAGTAAATCAATTCATACAACACATAGTTATTGAATGCCTATTATGTGCCATGCTTTGTTTAGGCACGGAGGCTCCATCAATAAATAGACAGTTTTCATGGAGCTTTACTTGTAGTGGGAGAGACAAAGAAAATAGATAGTATATTAGGTGGTGATAAATGATTCTGAGAAAAGTAAAACAGGGACTGGAGAGTGCAGGAGGGAGGCAATTTTATATGTATAATGGGGTCAGGGAAAGCCTAGCTGAAAAAGTGATAATTGTCGAAGACTTGAAGAGGGAGGGAGCCACTTAGGTGTGCCAGGCTCAGTAGAGTCATAACCTAAGGTAAGGCCACGCTAGTCACTATGATTCAAACTCAGGTCTTTCTGAGTAGAGAACCAGAGTCATGCCCTGTACTACAGTGTCCCCAGTGTCATCCTTGACCAGCTGGGGTTGATCCATTCTACTGATGTTCCTTCCCTCTCCATTTCTGGGCTTTTTAGTGTCCAAGGAAATGATTCTCCAACTTTAGTGCACATCAGAATCCCTTGGGAAACTTGATAAACGTGAGTTTCCTGGATCCTACTCCCAGATATGCTAATTCAATCTGAGGACCACTCTGAAAAATACTAATTTGTCCCACATCAGGCTCCTTGCTCAGCGGGGAGCCTGCTACTCCCTCTGCCTGCCACTCTCCCTGCTTGTGCGCTCTTTCTCTCTGACAAATAAATAAAATCTTTAAAAAAAAAAAGAAAGAAAGAAAGAAAAATACTAATTAAAGCATCTAGATCAAAAGTTTTTATTTACTTTTGTTTTTAAAGATTTTATTTATTTATTTGTCAGAGAGAGAGGGAGAGCGCGGCAGGCAGAGGGAGAAGCAGGCTTCCCGCTGAGCAGGGAGCCCGATTTGGGACTCGATCCCAGGACCCCGGGATCACGACCTGAGCCGAAGGCAGACGCTTAACCGACTGAGCCAGCCAGGTGCCCCTATTTACTTTTTTATTAAGATTTTATTTAAGGGGCGCCTGGGTGGCTCAGTCGTTAAGCGTCTGCCTTCGGCTCAGGGCATGATCCCGGGGTCCTGGGATCGAGCCCCGCGTTGGGCTCCCTGCTCGGCCGGGAGCCTGCTTTTCCCTCTCCCACTCCCCCTGCTTGTGTTCCCTCTCTAGCTGTCTCTCTCTCTCTCTGTCAAATAAATAAAATAAAATCTTAAAAAAAAAAAAGATTTTATTTTTAAGTAATCTCTATACCCGGTATGGGGCTTGAACTTAATAACTCTGAGATCAAGAGTCACATGCTCAAAAAAAAAAGAAAAAATGGGGCACATGGGTGGCTCAGTTGGTTAAGCGGCTTCCTTCACCTCAGGTCACGATCCCAAGGTCCTGGGATCAAGCCCTGCATCGGGCTCTCTGCTCTGTGGGGAGTCTGCTTCTCCCTCTCCTTCTGCCGCTCCCCCTGCTTGTGCTCCCGCATGCTCTCTCTCTCTGGCTCTCTCTCTCTCTCTGTGTCAAATGGATAAATAAAATCTTAAAAAAAAAAAAGACCCCTGAAACAAATAATACATTATATGTTAATTTAAAAAAAAAGTCGCATGTTCTACCGACTGAGCCAGCCAGGCACCCATCAAAAGTCTTTAGAATCTACCATAACAGCGAGTTAACAATTGCTATTAAAATTTTTTTTTAAATGCCTAGAAAAAAACTAGTGATGATAGTAATAATAATCATAGTGTGCATCAGTGAGCACTTACATGCCAGAGACTGTGCTAAGCTCTTTTGTTTTTTTTTTTTTTTAAAGATTTTATTTATTTATTTGAGAGAGAGCACATGAGAGGGGGGAGGGCCAGAGGGAGAAGCAGACTCCCTGCCGAGCAGGGAGCCCGATGCGGGACTCGATCCCGGGACTCCAGGATCATGACCTGAGCCGAAGGCAGTCGCTTAACCAACTGAGCCACCCAGGCGCCCCTGTGCTAAGCTCTTTTACATACATCTTCTCATTTCACTCTTATAGACTGGTGGAATGGGCACCATTTCGATCTTCATCTTAAAATGAAAATTTTGAAACAGAGAGATACCAGGTAACTTGCCCAAGATCACACAGTAAGTCTGTGGTAAAATTTGTGGTGGTCTCACTCCCAAATCCACACCCTGGAATTATTGACCAGTTTCCAAAGAGTTAAGTATGGAAAAGAAAAACTAATAACTTCGCAGTTGAGAAACCTAGTAAGAACCACTTTAACTAAGTGATCAAAGTTAACGGTACCAGTAATGATTCATGTTCATAACATGTACCCCAACATGAGATGATGAGAAAGGAGCTTTGCTTCTGTAGTATTTTTCCAGAAAACCCATAATCCCAGAGTAATCAGGAGGAAAACGTTAAACAATCCAATTTGAGTGACATTCTACATAATGTCTGACCAGTACTCTTCAAAACTGTCAAGGTCATGAAAAATAAGGAAACAGAGAAACTGTGATAGACCAGAGGAACCTAAGGAGACATGCCAACTAAAGTAATGTGGTATCTTGGTTGGGATCCTGGGACAGAAAAGGGGCATTGTGGAAAAACAGTTGAAATTCAAATAAGGTCTAGAGTTTAGTTAATAGTGTTGTACTAATGTTGGCCTCTTCGTTTTGATAAATGTACACGTAAGATGTTAACATTGAAGAAAACTCGGTGATGGGCAGCTGGGTGGCTCAGTCCATTAAACATCCCACTCTTGGTTCAGGCTCAGGTCATGATCGCAGGGTCATGAGATCGAGCCCCAGGTCAGGCTCTGCCCTCAGCACAAGTTAGCTTGAGATTCTTTCCCTCTCCCTCCCCCTCTGCTCCCCCTACCCTCCCCGCGCGTGAATGGTGCCCGCTGTCTCTCTCTAAAATAAGTTAATAAAATCTTAAAAAAAAAAAAAAAAAACTGGGTGAGGAGTATATGTAAACTTTACCCTCTTTTCAACTTTTCTGTAAATCTAAAATTACTCACAAAAAAAAAAGATTTTTTTTCTTCTTTTAAGTAATCTCTTTTTTTAAGTCCCCCTAAGGTGGGGCTCGAACTCATGACCCTGAGAACAAGTGTCACATGCTCTACTGACTGAGCCAGCCAGGTGCCCCACAAAATAAAATAAAAGATTTTTAAATGCATAATTTTTAATACTTGGGGAGAGCTATTTTTTTTTAAACCAAATGTATTAGAAACTCTCAGCCCAACTCCATCCCAAGGCTAGCTAAAGGAGAAAATTCCAGTAGCAAGTGCAAGGAGAAATTCTTACAGAGAATGGGAGGGTCTCCAACAAAGATATAATCTGTGATCCTCATGGAAAATTATTCCTAAGGCTGAGGAGGCTTTAAAATACCCCAGATAGGGGTGCCTGGCTCTTTGAGTCAGTGCAGCGTGCAACTCTTGATCTCCTGGTTATAAATTCAAGCCCCATGTTGGGTGTAGAGATTACTTAAAAGTAAAAATCTTTGGGGCAGGGTGCCTGGGTGGCTCAGTCGGTTAAGCGACTGCCTTTGGTTCAGGTCATGATCCTGGAGTCCCGGAATCGAGTCCCATGTCCCGCTCCCTGCTCATCAGAGAGCCTGCTTCTCCCTCTGACCATCCCCCCTTCTCATGCTCTCTCTCTCAAATAAATAAATAAAATCTCTTAAAAAAAAAAATCTTTGGGGCACCTGGGGGGCTCAGTCAATTGGACATCTGATCAATTGGACATCTGACTCTTGGTTTCAGCTCAGGTTGTGATCTCAGGATCATGGGATCCCTCCCCATGTCGGGCTCGGCATTCAGCGCGGAGTCTGCTTAAAATTCTCTCTCCTCCTCTCCCCCTGCTCCTCCCCCAACTCGCTCTCTCACTCTCTAAATAAATAAATAAATAAATAAATAAATAAAATCTTTTTAAAAAATAAATAAAATAAAATATCCCAGAAAAAGAGGTTGGCATTACAGGGAAATGGTATTCTTCTAGGTCAGTGGTTCTCAAAGTGTGGTCCTTAGTTAGCAACATCAGCATCAGCTGGGAAGGTGTTAGAAATGCAAATTTTTAGGCACTGCCCCAGACCTACTGAAGAGAAACTCTAGGAATGGGGCCTAGCAATCTATATTGTTACAAATTGATTCTCTGGTGATTTGGATTCAGACAAAAGTTGGATTCTTTGGCTGGTTATTTTTT